TCGACGATGTTAGTGTGTTGTTTAAAGGTAGCATCGAAATATTTTTCGTTTCTTCTTACACCTTCACGTCAAACCCAGATAGCAAACAATGGTTGTAATTATTGAGACGTTTTTCAGATATCTTTTAGTGATTAAGTACATCCTGTTGTTTTCTGGCTATCATCACTATGAGTTTGACAGTACACCTTTAGAGCTCTTATATATACTTTTAGTGTGATTAAAAGTACCGCTGCTCTCCATATTATTTCTACTAGAAACTGATGTGATGTAGTTGATCTGTATACCATTTCAATTTTTTTAATCAAGGCAAAAGGATTGAAATATTATACAAATGTATTATGACATTGCATCCTTCAAACATCTGAATAGATCACACATTAGAACTCAAAAAACGTGTACTCGTAACATAATTGTAAAGATTATGGCTTAAAGTTCAATATTTGAGACTTAAAATCGACCTGAAATGGCATCTCTCATGCATTTTCACAATCCCTATAGAATAATCAAAACGTAAAGAAATATTATCTTATCTAAGTTCAAATTGAAGTTTAAATCGTGCTGATGCTAATGGAGAAAGAATCACTTGGATGGATACTTTGGTTTTCATTGCATTTGGCTTTGACAGGCTCAGGTGGTGAAAAATCTCAACCTTTTTTTTCGCCATGATTTTCCAAAAACGCTGAATAGTTTTTCTCGAACCTTTTTTCCGAAAAACATCTCATTTTGTACTATCGATGTTCCGAAATTGAGCTTTTAATGAATTTTTAATACTCATAGTTACCAGTAAAATGAGCGAGGAGAACTAAAATGTTACAATTCATTAAACTTTTAAAATCAGTAGAATCAGTTGATCATAGATAAAGCTTTTACGCTATTTTCACATGTGATTTTGGTTATTGCATTTAGTAGATTTCGTATTCCGTAAAATTTGCTGATACCATTTTTTTATCAAGTATATAAGAAAATGTTATGTTTCTGATGAGATTTCTACATGTGGTAAAATTAAATGATGCTTTAATACAATCATACAGTAGCACATCGTCTCGAACAAGGCAATCCAATCATCGGAAAGTAGTAGAAAAGTTCGCCTGGAGTTGATAACGTCATCAAGTATTGTGGATTGCGTACAAAATAATATATGCGTCTTATAAAATACTTTGTATCTTCAATCGTTATGTGGTGTATCTTCAGAAATCTGCCTAATGCTTTGAAGATTTTTTTCTCAGGCATGAAAAACTTCGAATGAAAATTCACTCAATTCTGTAATTCAATAAGTTATAATCTATCTTATATACAATTATGTCCCTTTTGTCGCAGGACGGTAACCTTGAACCAAGTATTTGGAAAGTCTTTAAGGATTCCTTGAGGGTCTGATCCAAATCGTTCAAGATCTTGTGAAGTTTTTCAGAAAAGCTTGATAAACCTTGAACTAAACTGACTGGCCACTTTTTCAACAACGTTTATATATATACCAATAGTACTTCTTAATTTACACATCCTGCGGTACCGTTTAGGCAATACCGGAGCTAATCAGTCAAAGATCATGTCTACGTAAGAGGCTTGTCATTTTCTTACAGCGCGGAGAGTGTTTCTAATATGTGCATGGGCGCCGCAAAACAAAAACGGTTATAGAGAGACAATAAGTATAATTTTCTTCATTTATCTACTTATTGAACTAACAGAATGCATGGTGAAGTCCCCTCTATGGTGTTGTAACATAACGAGCATTGATAAGTGTGACAATGCAAGTGTTGCACTTCTTTCAGTTTTTTAAATGACATTAGTAATGCCGGCAACGATTCAAATAAAAATGTATTATTACCGTTTTCAAAAATTGACTATTGTTACTATTCTGATCAAGAATAGATGATAGACAATAGCTGCGGACACAATTCTAAATAAGTTCAAATTGAATATTGTCCACAGAAATATACGTGACACGACATCACCGCGAACGACAATACCGCGAAGAATTGTTTATTGAAAAAGAAGAATAAATGAGCCTGGTGTCGTATTTTGTATCTCATGTCGCGGGATGTGGGAAGGTATTGTGAGAGTGAGTTCGAAAAGTAGTTTCACACAAAACGTATTTTCACGATGCGAAACTAGATATCTGTGACTGTGTCAGATAATGACTAGTCATCACGTAACTTCAGTTAAGTTTGAAAACATGATGTACAAAATACAAAACCGGTCTCATTTATTCGTCTTTTCCAATAAATAATTGCTCGCGGTAATGTCGTTTTCTGTTGTGGCGATAATGTTGTCTTTGGTATTCGCGGTAATATCGCTGTATCGAAATATACCATCAGATATATTTGAAGCACTTGATGTTTGGCAACGTTGTCCACCAACATTGGTTCAGGTTTCGAATCATAAAGTCTTCTTAATCTCATGATCTTTTGAATTAGGAAAGTAATCGCCCTTCTAAAGTATTGGCATCCTTCTCTAATTATTTGCTTTCTGCAGCTTTTTTCTTTGAAGTTATCTGATATTCACATTCCAGGGTCTTGCATCGATAACATGAAAGTCTTATTATTTTATAAATCTCATTTCTGTCAAACTTTCCTACATAGGATATACTTTCCTACAACAGTATATTCGATTAATTACCTGATAAAGAAAATTGGTATGTAAAGCTAGAAAGTCACAATTGTCAACAATACACCAGCTACTCGCTAAATACAGAGCAAACGATGTGAATGAAAGTAAATCATGTACCATTTATAATACGCCCCTTGTATTTCATGTAGAACATGGTTATGTATCCATTGAGCGATTGTGTACAACGTCATTATTAATAATAGAAAAGCATTCAGTATTACGAGCAAAGTTAGCATATGATATAGATAGTGAATGTCTAAAACAATCAATAAAACCGATGCTAAGAAATGAACAGTATTATTCATTTGAATTAAGTCGAATATTTACTAGCGAGGAGCTTGATAAAATTTTATATAACGAAGACACAAGCAGTTTATTTTTTAATTTGGAACAAGGCATTATATTTCGCTGCGATGAAAAAATTTTGGTGAGAAACGATATTATCATATTTAACTTTCATCATATTGCATTTGATGAAAGTTCCGTTAATCCATTTGTAAATGATTTTCGATTAGACTATATGAATAATGCACTTTATATTAAAACACAATCATTTGAATATATCGATTATTCAATATATGAACGAGATATGAATATGAATGAGGCTAGGCAATATTGAACAAATGTATTGAATGGCTATGATATGAAGAAACAATTAAAACTACCTTATAATCTAAAAGAAAGTAGAAGACAACAACGAACTGGCCATGGATCATCAACTGAATTCGATTTTGATAAATCAATGATGGATCAAATACTTAAATGTTGTCAACAATACCATGTGTCGATGTTTCAGTTATGTTTAACATGTTACTATATTTATTTATATAAACTAACAAACGGTGATCAAGATCTATGCATTTGTAGTGTGCATGCAAATCGTCATAAACCAGACTTACTTCCAATAATTGGTATGTTTGCTAATACATTGCCGTATCGTTATATTGTTGATCCATGACAAACATTTGACCAAACATTGAAACATGTACAGCAACTGTGTTTGAACATATTCGAGTATTCATATCTACCATTTCAAGAAATTATTCAATTACAACATACTACTAGCAGTCAACAGAATGATTTATCATTGATACAGAGAATATTCCAATTCGAAAGCTTAACGCCGAAGTCAAGTCAAAACTTCATATTGGACGATGATAAATATAATATTTTCGATGCCATTCGATCGACACAATGCTGATGGTGTAGCGGACACCAGAAATGTAGCCCAATTTTTTATTTATCATTATCTATGCTTTATGATCCATTTAGTACTAGCATAAAATGTTCGTTAGAGTATTCTACAGATTTATTTGAACAAACAGTGATTGAAATGATAAGTGAGCGTTTCCAATTGTTATTGAATCAGCTGTTTTTGTCATCATTTAGTTTCAAAAACAAGCCACTATTTGAATTATCAATATTATTGCCAAATGAAATACAATTGTTGCAAGATATAAATCGAACATCAATGGATTTTGGACAAATTAAATGTATCCATCAGGAGTTTGTTACTTGCGTTAGCGGAGTCACAACAATTAGCCATTATTCTTGATAGTCAATCATTAACGTATGCTGAAATGTTATATTATGTTCAACAAGTGTCATTACATTTCATAGATAAATATCATGTTAAATCACAACAAATTATATGTCAATGTATTGAACGATCGATTGAAATGGTTATTGGTATATTAGCTATTTCAACGACTGGCTATGTTTACTGTCCATTATCACCAAATGATCCAATAGAACGTCTCTATCACTAATAGAAGAAACAAAAACATGTCTGATTTTCATTCATCCATTGACGCATGAAAAATATAATAAACATCATCAAACGGCACAGATTGATTACATTTATTTTGTTGATTCTGAAAGTGTTATCAATAATCATAGGAATCCAACCCATATGGATTTAACTAAATTAACAAACGTCAACGTAACACCTGATCATATTGCATATATATTATTTACATCTAGTTCAGCTGGAAAGTTTAGGGTCACTTATTGTTGGTGCAGTTTCGGTATCGTTGCATACGCAAGATTATCTGGATCTGGAATACTTTTCAAACACACTTCAGTTTTGCAAGGTTACAAGAGTAGAAACTGTTCCAGCACTCACATACTTGTTGTGCTCGTTTTGGAGAGAGAAACAGTACGATACTGCGTCTTTCAACTCAATCCGATGCTGGAAAATGGGAGGTAAGATGATCTTTTATTCGTGATGCACCCTTTCATTTTTATTTCCGTTGTCATAGGTGAAACGTTAAATCCAAACGCCGCTAATACGTTGATTCCACATGTATCCACCGACTGTAAGTTATACAACCTGTACGGTCTCATAGGTCAACAGCGTTCATCGCTTATATTGTATAATATTTCTTTCGACAAGTTATCTCTAAGTTCAATAAATATCAAGGCTAGAAAAAAAGTTGGGGTGAATATAATTTCTCATAAGTTCTCTTTGTATACTGCCCATCTGATTTCTCACTACCTAGTCATCTCAGAAGTTTTCGAAGAGTCATTACAGTATAACAAGGTTCAACAGCTTTTGCCTCTGTAAAACAATCTGTGTATAATGTTATAAATAAGGTGATGAAAGGTGTTAAATTAGATAAATCAACACAGAAGCAGCCTATGAATAAAAATGTGAAAAAAATGTTTGTTCTGACTCCTGATTATGGAATATGTACATTGATTTTAGCTAGCCAACTTCGAGCTGTTCTAAAACACCCCTTAAAATATGTGGTTTTTCCTTTCAAATCCAGCAATCGTTTGTCGCATATATTCAGCTCAACACTCAGAGAGAAGAATAATGATTTAGCACGAGTTATCTACGGCTATGACTGCTATAATTGTGATGCAATGTAGATTGGGCAGACTAGTTAAGTTAGTGGTTTAAAACTCAGTTATTAAATGAATGGGGCGATAGAGAATAGAATGCGACTACTCCCAGTTGATAATTGTCGTCCTGACGCTCAACTTAGAGAAAACACAAATTCATTGTCACAATTTCTCTGTTCACGCGAGTTTACTACGGTTAAAGAAAGAAAATGATTTCAATATTCTAAAACTTGGCTTCTTTGAACTAAATGACGTATATATAACGTATATATTCTCAGCTGTGTTGAGGGGAAGTTACAGAAAATCAGTCTTGCGGACTGCACGCGTATTAAGGACCACTTCAAGTTTCCAAGGCTTTCTATAACGAAAAAGCGGTTATAAATAAAATATTCTTCATTCTTACACTCAACAAGTTGATTTTGAATATTTGCCTAAGCAATTTTTTAATTGGCTTCTCATTGTGATAGTTTGATGGTAGATAAATATCTTGATAAGTAGATGTTCGAATATAAAACTAATAGCGTATTTTATCATTTCTTCATCATCATAGCATCTATTGGTAAGGTACACCCAAGACTTTCTCTCAGAGTAATAGTATTGGGCTTTCTTTCAGTTATTGGTATGATAATCGCGCATGACTGACAATGAAAATATTTTCTCATTTAGATTGAATTCTATGAACAATTTACGTAATTGTAAGTTGAAAGAACCATTATATAATCTCACTGACGAAAGCAACTAGCAGAACGCATTCTTCCTTCCAAATAATGAAACCGTCTCTAAAAAAATTCTAGTGACTGATTGTAAAATTATAAGAAAATGTGAAGAAAAGAAACAAGAATAAATAATTTAAAAATTGAAATAAGTTGATTTTTTCTTTTAAATACAATCGAATAAATGAATTCATTCACATCTGGAAAGATATGAGGAAATACTAAAGCCTCAACAGTAAAATCTTTCAACAAAGACAATGATTTATTCTGTTCTGCTGGCGCTAGACTAACTATCTTTTGATCTAAAACATAACTTTCTAAATCCGTAGGCTGTAAACATGAATGTGTACTAAAATTAAATTTACTCCAAGGATCTTCTGTATCTTCTAATCCTATTTCACTATCTAAATCACTTTCGCTATCACTTTCTAAAGCTCCTGGCTCACCATCAGCAGTATTTTCTTGAACACCATCATCACCATCGTTTCTTTCACCAACATCATCGGCTACAGTTTGTGTGTCAACAACATTATAATCATTCTTATTATCTACCTGCGTTGCTTCTCCAACAACATCGTTAACTTCACTTTCAGTTCTATATCTATTGATTCACTCTCACTGTTATCAGCACTAGCTCGCTTGTTCATTATACCTGGATGATTTACAAGATAATTATCATCAATTTCATTAATTTCTATCTCTTTATAATTGTCATTTATATTTTTAAGACATTCTAAAGCGTCTCTAGTATGCGCTGGATTAATAAACGTTTTTTTCCATACAGCTTTGTACTGAATTCTTCTTTTTAATTTAAACGGAATTATCATTGATTTATCAACCTAACGAGGAAGAGCTGTTGCTGTTTCATGAACATTAGCAGGCACACAATGAAGTGGGCCATGAGTACTCCGTTGCTTGTAAGGTAATAAATTGATCAACGATATACACGAAAGAAATCACCGAAGCAACAAACAGTTTCTCAAGATAATTAAGCCTGTTTAATCCATCAAAGCCCTAAATTAATTTCTTCTTATTCCAGTAGCTTTGAGCTGACATTGAACATTTAGGGTTTTTGTTGTAAATTTTATAACCTTGCAGAGAAAGGTCGTGTAGAGTTGTGAGATGTCTCATTTTAATCAAAAATTTGCGGGCTATAATCATGCCTCATTAAGAAAGGCTGTTGTTATCTTTTAGAGTTTCTGGAAAACTAGTTTTCTAGAAATCCGATCTCTGAAGGCCTAAGAGCGCAAACGGATGTCATATTCGGATTCAGCATAGTCGATTATCTATTGTCCACTAAGCTTCGGAAAAAAGCGATTACAGACTTGGGGACCTTTCCTCGTAAGTCTAATTAACCACTAGCTACGATCTATGTTAGTATACATTGGCGTGAGAGAAGACAAGATGGCTATCAACACCATTGCTTTTCTCTTGCAACCATCTTCAAAGTCAAATAGTACCATCTACGAAAATTTCTTGAAAGTGGCAATGTTTGGTTTTTTTGGTGTCAGTTAACTGACACCAATGTATGCCTCAAGGGGGAAACACCGTACTCCGTACTCCGCCACTCCGCGTAGTGAACTTTCACTCCGGTTCACTCCGGAGTGAACCGGAGTGACAAGTGGTATACTCTCTTCTCTCGCATTTGATATAAGCTATTTATTTAAAAAAAAGAAAGAAATCAGCAATTTATACTATCTCTACCCACCGAAATAGAGACAAGCCCCATTATTATCGGCGATAGAGAAAACAAGAGCTATGCATATTGTGATAACAACAGAAAGATCTAGTA